TGGGGTGGGGACCGTGGAATACTTGAACATAATGATGCCGCCGATGAAGGTGACCCAGAGGGCAGCCCCCCAGGCAGTGGAGAAGCAGAGGAGGTGGGCGAGTTTGAGGAAGGAAAGAAGCTTTGGATGATGGTGCTGCTGGCCATCCTGGGGGGATGTTGATCCGAAGGTTTCAGGGGAGAATATCACCCCGACGGCCAAGAACGTCACTGCAGCTAGGAATCTGCTCATCCAACCCATCTCTCCCTTATCTAATTTTGTTGTTTTTTTCTTTTAAACGTGGGTTGTTGCTCAATTATATAGTGAGGCGAAGAGGAAGACCACCCACCCACCAACTTCGCTTAGTACCGGCACTTCCAGAAGTTGGACTGCTGAACCTCTATTTTATTTTACTCTACAGTTATTTGTAAAATACTCCACTCAATTATCATTAACTCGTAGCTTGCCCCCTAAACTATGAATTTAGCGTTTTACCGCCTTATCTAATCTATTTATTTTTGGCAACTTACTCCTGTTAAACCGAAATCAGCATGAGAGAAAGTATGAATATAGTTTTATCTCATTAATAACTTCAAAAAATCCTACCTGCTCATGATTTTCTTCTCGACACTTGATTTCTCTTCTCTTCTCTAGCTCCGAATCACCTACTTTTTCTTTTTCTTTTTTCATGTTTCTTTTTATTAGATCTGAGCTTTTCCAGGGTTTGATTTATCTGATCTGTAATTTATTGGATCTATTCAATAAATCTCACATAATATCTGAATTTGAAACCGTTAATCAACAAATCTGACGATTGAAAACAAGCATAGATGTTTTAATGATTGAAAACATGTACGAATCTTCGTGGAATTACAATTATTTTATCTAATTATGTTTGATGATGTTCGTGAAGTTACAATTATTTTATTTATGTATACACAGATATTCGTGGAGTTATAATTATTTTATTTCATTTTTTAAAATTTGGAGCTTTATAATGTAATTTTTATTTGTTCTTCAAATTTGTAATATCCATTTTTCAGATCTGTTCTTTGATATTTGTGCATATTTGAGAATGTAACTTTTGCCATGAGTGCAGATTTTAATGAAATTGTGATGTTTTATAAAAAAAAAAAAAATCAAATCAATTGGTCTTTTAACTCTTTTCTAAAGTACCTTAATCAAAAAATAATCTCTCTATTTTTCTAACCCCTTTCTTGATTCACTCCTAGACAGCTTCTCCTATTCTTCAACTCTCTTTTCCCTCTCTCTCTTTTTTTTTTTCCTCTGTAATTTCTAGTTTATGATGTTTTCTTCTATAGCGTATAATCAATCTTCTCATCACTGATGATAATCTCTTCAATAATGTATATTCAATTTTATTACTCCTTTATTTTTAATACATATTTTTCTCAATTTCTTTTGTATTACCCTTTGAACTCTTAAATCTTCCTCTTTTTTCCTACTCTACACGACACTACCAATCTTCTCCTCCGTCTTTACCCATCCACAATCTCTAATTTGATTTATTGATATAATTGTTTTAACATTGGTACAAATTTGGATATCCATCTTAATGGTTTTGTTGGTTTTTATTTTAGTTTTCATTTTGGAGACGTCCTGGAATTGTACAGTTTATGATTTTGTGATGAGATTGTTATAATCGCTTTGAGTTTAGTCCAATATTAATCTAAACCAAATTAATCCAAGTGGGCTTCCATCCCATCCTGTCCTGGTGGACCGCGATTTGATGGGCAGCAATGGAAGCGCAAATTTTTGGTCTCCCATAAGAGGCCCAGGCCCATCTTAGGGCATAGTACATGAAGGCCTGTAGATAAGAAAAGTGTAAGGGATAATTGCAGAATCCTCCCTTGAGGTTTCAGACTATTTTTGTGGCCTCTTTTTAAATTTTAAAAATTATACTAACCTCGCTTAATATTTATTATTTTGCACCATTCAGGTCCAATCAACAATTAAAAAGTTATAATAGAAGAGAAAATATAATATGATTCTATCATTGCCCCTTATCTATTACAGAGAGAATAAGGAGGGGCAAAGGTAAAATCATGTTATATTCTCTCTTCTATTGCCACTTTTCAATTGCTACTGATTTGATATAAATGTTCTAAGATGATAGAGCTGAAGGAAGATTAATATAATTTTTAAAACCTAAAAGAAAACCAGTAAAATAGTTAAAAATCTCCCGCCGGGGAGAGCTTACTGTTAAGATCTAATCTAAGGAGACTATTAGCCTATTTGCGGCGGTCAGATTTGAATGTCACTAGTCAGCAACTCCAGTTTGCTGCTAAGATCTAATTTAAAGGAAGGAGACCTCACTGTTTTGGACTTGGTCCACCAGCTTTTGACAACTCACAATTTTCATCCTCAACACACTGTACACAGCCTTGCTCTTCTGCCAGTCGTCGTACTCAGCATCCGCGGGCCGTCTCCACTGGGATCCTTTTTTAAAAAAATAAAAAATAAAAATTGTCGTTGATTAAAAAAAACAAGAGAGAGAGAGAGTTTTGGGATAAATTGATAAAATGAGAGGAAGGAAGGCGTCGAACATGGCACATGATGATTGTTGATGATGGATTCCGTCACATGCAGCCACTGACATCATCATATCTGGCCACGACTTCTCCTCGTTCCCAACAGACAAACACCACCACTTCCTGTTTTTTTCCCCCTTACATCCCAATTCCCAACTTCTTCCTGTTCTTCGTATCTGGTGCATCAAGAAGATTAGCATCCTCAGTGCACATTTAATGTAACTAGTAGATTCTTTATGTCTAGATTTGTCAATTTGTTGCACCACTACTAAGAAAGTCCTAATTTCTATCAACCAATGTTGGGTTGGGAAAGAATTTTGACCCAACTTTTTTTGTTTTTTTTAACTGTCATCAGCTGGTGCGGTGAGCCTTTTTATTTTTTGCCTTTCCTGTTTTGAAAACAATAATAATACACGACGATATGCTTGCAAGATTAGAAAAAAAACATATAAACGCGAAGGTGCTGCTGCTTCCTGGGTCCTGACTTCCAGCTCCTCCGTCTAATATGAACATGAACAAAGAAAGCGTGGGAAACAGTGCAAAAAACGGGTTGTGTTGCATTTCGTGATCCGTAGCTTCAGTCTGCGTTTTTTCGGATAGCCGGGATCCGACGTTGATTTCCGATTCTTTCTTTCGCCACAAGATATGCTCCTCGCTCCTACTTGAAAGAAAATGCCGTCCAAGTGGATACGTTTATTGAATATGGATTAAAATTAGTTTGAAAGAAAAGAGCTTCGTTTGATGAAACAAAGCTCCGATTGCGTAAAGATTTTCCAATGAATATAATACTTCCTTGTGATTAGGGCAAAAAAAAAAAAGCATTTTAATTTGTTGACCGCGTTGTAATCTGTTTCTTTTTTCGAGAACAGAACGCAATCAATAATGGCAGTCATTTTTTCCTTTGATAATAAAAATAAAATGTATGTGCACAAAAGGCCGTGATGCAGAGGGGACTAGATTGCGTTTCAGAGTATAATGTATATCCACCCGTTTGGATTGCATTTTCCGTCATTTTTCATGGAAAAATTACTGTAGCGATTTGATGTATGTGAGGAAAAAAGATAATAGAGAAATGTGTTCACGGAAAATGACGAAATTTTTCTACGGAAAACAGCAATCCAAGCAAGGCCAACTCTCTTATTATTGTTACTTGACGTGGAAACCTATAAAAGGCCAAAAAAGGACATTTTCTTTAAATTATTTTTTTTTTTACTATAAATGAAATTCTAACCCCTCGACCTATAACTCAATCAAAAAGGGATTAGATCATCATCCCCTTTTCCTTTTTGGTGGTGGACACCGAGCATTCAAAGATGATTAATAACATCCCGCATTTGTATTTTATGCGTAGCAGAGTAAGAACCCAGAGATTAAAAGTTTTTCATTACCTGTTGCTACCTTTATGGCAGGCCTGCAGTGCTGATGATGCCTTACACACCAACTTTCAAACAAACCCCAGTATGTAATATGTTCTTTTTTTTTTCTGGGTTGCACGTGACTCTTTATACAACTCCCCACCTTTCTTTCTTTCTCTGTCATCCAAACACCTCGCAACAAGCAACAAAATATGCTCGCTTGTACGATGATCATCCTGAAATCACTCTACTACTACTTTAATTGTTCTTCTAAAATATGCTTCTTCTTTTTTTTTTTTCTTTTTCTTGTGCAGCGTGGTTAATTAAGCCAGCCAAATGTGTGTGGGATCGTAAATAGAAAATTCTAAATTCTAAATCTTTCTTTTTAAAAAAAAAAAAAAAAAAACCAGCCAAATAAGTTTTTGTGCGTGAGCATTAAATCTGACTTTTTTAGGAAGTCTGATTATGGAGAAAGGCATTGCAGTGGCCGGATGGAACTTTAGTAATTCCTCATTAAAAAACAATCGATTTATTTGTTGATGATGTATATAAAGTAAAAAAAATGATTGAAAAAAAAATTTAGAGAAAAATGACGATACGAACGGGCCTTATAAGTTTTTATTCACGTAATTAGGGGTTTATATTTACAATGAATCAATAATATGTTTCATGTAAGAGAAAAAAAGAAAATTGGAAAAAGCTGAATTTCAAGGTTGCGTACGGCCCCTCCTCTGAGGAGGTTGCCGCAGCACAGACCGAAATCATTATGGCGCACTTTTTCTGCGATTAAGCTTTTCTTTGAGTACGCATCGTCTTGGATGCTTCCGCTCTTTTGTCAAGTTACTTTCCGGCTGCAGAGACGCATGCTTTCTGTCTGACCCTGAAAACTTGTTTAGATTTTTTTTGGCCACCGCTTGTTTAGATTACCTTTTTATTTATATCCAGCACTATATATATATACAAGGCAGCAAATACACCCACCGTAGACACACATTACATCAGCAATGCCATCGCTGTACTAGCATTGAGCGCTCATCACACCATGATATTGAAATGGATCCCAGTCTAGGATTATGATACATCATCATCCGGCATCCTAATACCCGTGGCTCCCTTTTGGATGCAAAGTGTTGTGTTGTGTTGTATATACGGTACTCCCTTTTTATGCATTTTGGATGCAAAGTGTGTATACAGTAGTAATTTGAACCAAGGGAAAAACAAACAAAAGTCATCCACGAGTAACTCGGATGCGTTTGCCTATGCAAAATGTTACAGGATAAGAGGTGCATACTTATCCCAGACACGGGTGACCAGCGAAATGTTTGCTCCAACAAAGCAGATATGGGCTTCTAGTCCCAAGGAAACAAATGAGCAGTTCAGGTTGACCCCCCGTCTTCCGCAGTACTTGTACAATGGTACTTCTCGTTGCCATTCGAGTAATTTAATCGAATGGAATGAAGGTCTCGTGGATTTGGAGCAAATCATTATTACTTCCTAGTAGATTGAAAGGATCGAATGCGCCTGCGTCTTAATGAAATCTCGTGTAGTGTCAGGTTTTGGGCCCTTTGGCAAGTTTGGCTTGGATAAGCCTGACAAAAGAAGGAAGAGTGGCACCCATGGCCGCTGGACAGCCACTCTCATGCATCCCGTCCTCTGCAGCAGCCATAATAACACCAGAAATAACCCTCCCTCATCCGTTCCGCTTCCCCACCTCAAATTTTAATTTTACCCCCCTCCTGTTCCATCCATCTATAGAATGGTGCAAATACAAAGAAACTTGACCAAACGAATCTTAAAAGCTCCTAACAAATATTCAGAAGTAAATAATGGGAAAGACTGAATTTAACTCTGTACAGGTACATTGTAGTAAAAACTAAAAGATGGGAAAGGAAAGAGAAGGTAGGTAACAAAAATTTCCCCGGCAGTCTTTGACGGTGACTAAATTTTCCCTTTGTACAAACATGCTACGTGATACTAGTTGATCGTCCGTAATCAGATTCTCCCCCCGCCGGTCTACTGATAAAATCTTATTCCTGTTTCAATCATGCTCACCTGATTCTCATGATCCACGGTTGTTCCTGATAACGCCTCATAAATCATCATCAATCATTCATTCGTTCAATTACCTTCAACAGCTTAAAGCCTCGTATTTCACTGGAATTGGACGATTAAATCCCACTTGAGAAAGCAAATTCCCAACAACAGCAAGGTCCCTGCAGAATACTCCTTGAAATGCCGAACAAGATGCTGCCGCATTTGAACCACCCTTACTCTCGAGCCTACTACCGTTATCACCATTACACACCTCCTTGGCAGTTGACGCAGAGTTGAACGTTTCAACAATCTTGGACTGTTCACGAGCTTGTTGAAGCTGCAATGATTGTGCAGCTTGCAATGCAGCAGCAGCCTTCTTCCGCTGCTTCTCCGATGCCTCTTCATCCATAATTGCTGTCATTACGCTGGTATACCCCTTCTGAATCAATCTATACAATAACAATGCCGATATTCTTGCTCTATCCCGAATAGATTCCATGTCACGCTCGTCCCCAAACTCACATCTGTCAATGAAACTGGAAGACTTATCAGGCTTGTGTCTAAGGGTGAGAAGCAAATGGGCTCTCTCCAACTCTGATCTGGAGCAACCCCGCCTCAAACCAATCAGAGCGTAATAATCTACATTCCCCGTCTCTCCCGAGGCAACCCCCTGCTTCAACTCCTGCATTTTAGTTGCCAGTGAACACAACTTCCCTGGGATTTCTCTATATTGCACATTCTGACGTTTCCATGCAGGTCCGGGCAGCTTTCTGTCCCGTAAAATGGAATTGTACAGGAGTTTAAGATGCTCCAGATCGTGAAGGGAATCAGGGAGGCATCGAATGGTTTCAAAAAGAGCAGCTCGAGTGGTCAATGCTTCAATGCAAGAGGGCTCCAACGCCAGAGTTTTATTGCAGTCTGCAATTGCCTCGGCAATTCTACCTGCAGATCGATAAGCTGAGGCTCGGTGCATGTAGCATTCAGCAAGGAAGGCCTGTGGGGCCCCACGACGCCCATCAACGATCTTGGAGAAATGCCGGATGGCTTCAGAGTAAAGCCCAGCGTCAAGGGCTGCAATGGCGGCCGTCTTGCGGCGGAGGAGGAGTTTGATATGGCTAAGGAGATGGGAAATGCTCTCAGACTCGGTCTTGGGAGGCGTAGCCGGCTGGTTAATGGGAGCGGGAAGGTCAGCTGAGGTTGGGAATTCGCGAAAGAAAAAACTATCGTCGGACCAACAGATACTCTGACGGCGGAAAGCTGCAGTAGCCAGGCGCTTCCAAGTCTGGAGGAGAACCATGGCGTCCTCCATTAGGCCCAAATGGCAACATGCTTGACCCAACACCAAGTACCTAAGCGTAGGGGGGAAAAGGAAAATGGGTCATGAGTTTGAACAAGTTTATTAACACGGAAGAAAATCTGATCATTAGCACTACTCCCTCCCTCAGTAGAGTCTTAGTCCCGCGTACGTCCTTGATTAATTACTTTCCGGCCAGTAAAACGACAGAATACAAACAGATTAGACAAAAAGTCATGGAATGATGATGTATAACACGGGAACCAGAGGGGACTGGGAAGCAAATCTGCATTGCCCGGATTTTGCATATTAGCAATTCAAAAAAAAAAAAATTTTGGTGAGGTCTAAGAAAAGAAGTCGGCAACATTACTAGTACTAGTACTAGAAGTTTTGAAGACAAGCGACGGAGAGAGAAAAGAAAAGGGAAAGGAATTCTATCGTAATAGTTACCTCCACTGGCCTTCCTTTTCGCAGTTTTTAGTGAGGCCAGCCATGACCTTCTTCTTCAAATCGGAGACGGAAAAGCATTTAAAGGTAGGCTCTTGGTCCTGCCGGTCGGATGATAGAAGCTTGACCCGCTCTCTGGATAAGTGGGCGGAGGAGGAGGAGGAGGAGTTATCGGAAGAGGAGTCGTCGGAGAGCATCTTGAGGCTGGGAATGTAGTCCTGAAGCATATCGGCGACGTCCCTGAAACGGCGGAGATAAAGCAAAGACCTAGCCTTCAAGTGGAGGGCTAGGTCGAGACGAGGGGAGAGTTCCAAAGCAGCGTCCAGAAGGTTGAGAGCCGAGAGGATCTCGGATTGGTCTTGCCTAGTTCCCAGCAGAACTTTGGCATCCTTCAAATACTTGTCTACAATCTGAATTTCACGTCCACGTCCCACCGCCACCGCCACCAAATTAAAACCCCATTAAATCCGAACCACAACAACACAAATTACTACATTATTAGGAAGTTTAATTTTAGTAGTTTGGGATGAGAAAGGCAAGCAGAGAGAAAGAACGAACCTTCTTGTTGGTGACCCACCAGTGCTTCCTATTATCTCCGGCGATGGAGGAGGAGGCGGAGGTCAGGGATGGTGCTGCGACGGCCATGATGGTTGTGCAAAATGGGTCAACCCGTTCAATACATGAAACCCACCCTCTCTCTCTGTCTCTGTCTCTCTCTCCCTCTATCTCTCTTAGTTTCTCTCTCTTGCTAGCCCTCCCTCAGTTCAGAAATACAGGAATGTACCTGTTTATATATATTTCTTTGATCCAGGCAGGACGGCGGAAGAGATTTCACGAATTTCACCTTCCCAGTTCCCTCCCATCACTATTTGGTGGGAGAGAGAATAAGAGGCATTGCGGTATTTATTTGAATCCAAAAGTAAACGAGGCACGGTAACACTAGTGGAGCCCAAAGTACACACATTCATCTACCCCAAATTTACCCTTCATCCTATGGACGTAGATGCCGCATTCATATTTATTGCATTTTTTATATTTATTCACATGGAGTACTTTTTTGAACTAATAGCAACACTTTTATGGAGTATCCGTCTACAAATTTTTTTTTTTTACACTAATAAGTTTAATTTAATGTTATATAATATAAATTTAAATTATGCACATATAATATATATTTATAATTATTAATATAATAAATTATTATATTATCAGAGCATAATAAATTAATCTAACAAATTAATATCATTAACGACTGTTAGTGCACACCTATTATTCAAATCCATACAAATAAGTTGTTACAATAAATGGACCCCACAAGAAGTCTGTAGGCTGCAGCCTTTTGTAACCCCTTGGCTGGGGACAGACGTGAACAAAACAATAATGTGTTTGTGATGCAAACAAAATATTATTTGAAATAATAGAGGTATTCAAACACTCTCATTATTGAATTTTGTATACGTCTGAGTATAATATATGTAGAAGTACATAATTATAATTTGAATTAGACTACAAAAATAAAATATGTATGTAGAGGTACATAATTGCAGTCAGATTTGTAGCTTTAGAAGCAAGTTTATAGGAATGTACTTACGCCAACAATAACATTAATTGTCAAATGAGAAGGAAACAGAAAAAATGGCATGGCTCCTTAACGCAACACGCAACGAAAAGGAGGTGCCAGCTTTGACCTCTCAGGGAAAAAGAGCCTTTGATCCTCTCCCTCATAGCTGGCACCACACCCACCCCTCATCAACCAATTCTCACAGTCTAGTTTCACTTTCCCATTACTCTCCAAGACAAACATCCCCCGCCTGCCCCCCCCCCCTCCTTCTCTGCCCGGGGCCAACCCATAATCTCTATAATATGTATTGCTTCATTTTTTTTTAGTGCATAGGTCTACTATTCATGCCTGCCTAGTGCCATCCCCACCAATCCCCGCAACCCCCTATCAATTACCCTACTCCTACCGCCATTTTCTTAAGGGATAGTATCAAAAACCTTCCTGTGAAGTTTCTGTTAATGTTGCCCGGCACTTCTAAAGTTTTGAAAAATAATTTACCTCCCTTATTTTTGTTATTCGGTGTAACAAAAGTTTCAAAAAATTCTAAACTACCATTTTGCTCGTTTTCCTGAATAAAGATATTCATAAGCTACTTTGTTTACTTCCAAAAAAAAATCATCTAAAAAAAATTTCTAATAGTACCACCATATCACAAAATTATAGTCCATAAAAACATAAATTTAAAAAATAAAAAGATATTTGTAAAGAAATACATTATCACCAATTTAATTTTATATGTTCAAAATCGATTTCTTATGAAATTTATATTTTTTTTCCCAACTTCTTCTCAATTCAATAGTTATCCTTATAAATTACGTATTTTTAGGGTTATTTTTGTAACTTTATATATTGAAACCTTTTCAATATAAACGTATTTGAGAGTATTTGTAAAATATAAGATTTTGCTCTAATATTTTAAAATTTTAAGAAATAGAGGGGAGAGAGGAAGAGAAACAGAATAGAAGAAATAGAGTGGTAGTGATGAAGAGGGATGATAGTAAGGGATTCAGGCATGAGTAGTGGTGGTAGAGGAAGAAAATGCGGTGATATTTTATTTTTATTTTTATTTTTTATAGCTACAAAGTAAATTGTATTTAGGAGCTTTAAGTTATTTTTAGAGTGCTTTTCAATTAATGTTATTGTAGACTTGTACTCGAAATACAAGTTTTTTCAAAAATAAAAAATCAATACAATCCCTATATTTTTATTTTCTGTACCCTCTCCTCACCCTTTAACTGTATGCAGTATCAATATGTATATGATATATTAAATGTGATCACTATTGTTACTTTTCTAATTAGTTTAAGATATGTTTTGCTCTAAAGTATGTCTAACAAGTGCCAAAAAAAATATAAAAGTTTTTCACACATACTTCAAACACTCGAGTACACAAAATTTTTTCTAGCAATTCTACTATAAGCTATAGTAAAATTTTATATAAACTCTAAAACAATACACTATCCAAATGGATCTACTGTTTTAGGACACATTAGACAACACAATTTGTAGAAATAAGTGGTGATTTGATAAAGAAATGCGGGTTCTGAATTTAGGGTATATGCAGGCTCGTTTGACAAATTTGAAGTTTGAAAGCTGAATTATGAATTTCAAAAATTGAGTGCTAAAAATATTAAGTTACTACATTGTTTAAATTATATCTGTTTGATAACTAATTGGACTATAATATTGAATTGAAATTTACACAAATATTTTGTTTTTATTTTTTAAAAATTGTCTTTATTTGTGTATTTAGAGAATAAATGTGTGTTTACGTGTGAGAGAAAATAATAAAATACTTTAGAGCTAGTATTTAAATATATGTAGTTGTGTGTAAGAAAGTATATGTACACGCATGCGTGTCTATGTATATGTGGTAGACACAAAAAAAAAAAAGAGTGTATCACATGCGAGAAGAAAAGTGTGTTATGTGTGTAAGAAGTATAATATGTGTAGTTAATTTAGAAGATTTAGTGAAAAATTTTCACTTAATATTTTGTACACAAATTAAGCAGTACTTAATATATAAAATAGCAAGGCATTTATGTTATTAAACATGAAAGTTTTGAATAAATTAATTTTCAGCATTAACTAGAGTTATCAAATAGAGCCCTTGTCTTTATTTATTTTTTCCTTCTTATAAGCTCTTTCTTTTTTTTATCTGTTACTCGTGTACAACAAAATTTAAACTAACCTAAAAATAAAAAATTCTGACATGTTTGGATGTTATGTGGAGTAAATGCAAAGAGGGTAACTTAAACTTCAAACTGCGTTTGTATTTTAAGTGCTTGTTTCAAGATTAGGGTAGAAAACTCTCTGTTACCCGTTGAATCATTCCAATCTGTACATTGTGGTCATTCAATTTTTTTTTCCCCAAATCACCTACTCAAGTCACGAAAATGGTACATTAATAGTCATTTTGTTAATTTTTGCTATTAAAATTGCATTTTGATGTTTGTTTTAAGGGTCATTTATGTCAATTCAAGAAAACAGTAGTATTGTATTATTTACTCAGTTATAGTTTTTTCTATTCGTTTTTTTTTCCCAACCTCTTTACTACAATCGGTTTCACAAATTTCTCTCCTTACCTCCTTTATGCATGCGAATTTCATGAATCGACACAAACATCCTTGAAACTAGAGGTGTCAAAATGGGTGACTTGGGCGGGTTTGGGTTGGGTAAAATGGATAATGGGTATAAGTGAGTCAACTCATTTATATCCATTTAATTAGATGGGTATAAATGGGTAAGTCAAAAAATGAATTGGGTAACCCAATTACCCATTTATAACCCATTTATTTTAACTTTTTGTAAATTCATTTAAATTCATTTTTGCAAACTAAGTTATCAATTTATACCACTCTTTGTATCCATCATTAGTTTTAAATATTTATTTACAATGTTCAATAAACTTAATTACCATTTTTTTTTCATTTATACTCTATGTCACAAAATTACCTATTATTTAATAATTGAATAATAAGAATGTAAAATTTTGAACTAAGTACTATAAAAATTAATATAAAAACTTAATCCAAAAATTTTGAACCCCTAACATTGTTTTCATATATAAATTTAAAATTTCATTTTAGAAAGATAAGAAAATAGGCTAAAATTTATCATAAATTAGTAATACTGAAAAATGAGCAAGTTAACAAACTAAGAGAAAATAAAATAATAAGATAAAACCAACAAATAATAATAATAATAATAATAATGAAACAAAAGTAGTTAACATCATCACAAAATGAAAAATTTGAAAAAAAAAATGGGTGGGGGAAAAGAAGAGACTTGGGGGAAGAGAATTCTAAATGGGTTAATTGGGTTTGATGGTTTACCCAATAATACCCATATACAAAAATTTAAGATATCCATACCCATCTATTCATGGGCGGATATGGGTAAATTTAATTAAGTGGGTTGATTTGCCACCTCTACTTGAAACTAATGAAAATTAATAAATATAACTGGCAAAATTTAACCCAATGACCACTAACATACCACTTTTGTGAGTTGAGTGGATGATTTGAAACCAAAAAAAAAAAAAAAATTAAAATTAAAAATTAAAATTTCTCATTTACATATCATTTCTCATGCCATTCAATTCATTTATTTTCTTACAAACTTAATTTATTAAATGAAAAAGCGGGGCTCATCTCATAAAATTTTTTCATTTACAAATCATTTTCTCGTATCATTAAATTCATTTCTCCCATTACAAACTTATATGGGAGTGTTTGGATAGCACTACTATTATCTCAAATAATATTTCGCTTACATTATAAACACATTTCCCAACTCACATTTTTATATTCTCAACCATCTTTTTATCTCACATACATTACATCACAAAAAATGCTACAGTAATTATTCCAAATAACATCCTATCCATATTCAACGGGAAAAGCGGGGGCTCATCTCATAACCCACACGAATCATGCCTTTTTTTTTTTTTGTGGGGCTTTTCCATTCGCCCTTTCAGAGGTTCCTTTCCTTTACGTTTCACCCACATTTGATTAATGAATGAACAAACGCACAGGAAATTATGAAACCAAAAGGAGTTGGGGCAGCTGGTTTAGCCTTAAAGTCTCTCCAACCCGCCTTTTTCGTTTTTCCCACCCCCCCACGACGCAAAGGCCCACTGCCCAGTCTGCCCCTTTACTTTATACTGCTACTGGTACTTGTAATTTAATAAGGACAGTTCCTATAATCTCGTGCTTTGTTTGGCCCCACTCCTTTTTTCCACATCACTCATTTCCAGATAAACCCAACGTTTCCACGTGTCAGGCTTCTACTTCCGGTCCCAC